TTTTCAGCACCATTACTCCAGTCTTCAGAGTCACATGATCCTTCAGAAATCGTTTTTGCTGATTTTCTGCTCAAGAAACATTTGTTTTTATCAATGTTGAAAATAATTGTGCAGCGTAATATTTTTGAGGAAACCTATATATTTTTTTCAGGATTATTTGATGAATATAAAGTTCAATAGAACTGCATTTATTATGATAGAAATATTTTGTAACATTACATGTCTTTACTGTCACTTTTCATAAATTTAATGCTTCCTTTCTGGATTTTTTTTTCGGACCTAAACCTTTTAAACAGTAGTGTACATTTAAATACTTTCTGAGAGTTATGTTAAAGTCAGCTCCTGTCCTACTCACTTAAGGAGGCCTTTACACAACACCAGTTTCTAAACTCTGACATTTTTTTATGTGTTTTGGTGGTTCATTTGCATGACAACAGCATTTTGTGTGCCTGAAAGTGCAAACTTTTGTAAACGGGTTTCAAAGTGGAAGTGTTCAAAAATTATACTGTGATATTGTCTTGATGTAAACTACAAAAACACTATGGGTGGCCTATACGTATTACGTTTACAGTCTAAAGATATTCGCCCGGGCACATAGTGTTTCTTTATAAAATGATATTGCCATCTACTGGCCTGGCATGCACAATACAATGTTTTTTAGTCATTTTCACAGATCCGTGTTATTGACAACATTGCCATCTCTACGCAAAACTTTTCAAAAACTTAAACGAAAAATACACTGAATCATTTCTTTCTAGCAATATTTATATGCGCTTGTCACAATACTAACATTATAGTAACAATCACATAAGTCTATTCATCTTATAACAATGGATTCTGTTGAATGAAAGTATAGGATGCATAATTATTCACTCATTTTCTTGTTTCTGAAATCTACAACTGCAAGAAACTGATTGCTTAGCTGATTGGTCTGTGGACATGGGATAATGTGCAGCTTCAGGCTCCACTGGTCCTGTCCAGTGGTGCTTAAAGCTCAAGATATGGCTGACCTGTGCACCATTTGCAGGTACTCTACATTAGTTCCCTTTAAAGCGGTCCTGTTTATGACTTCTCTCATAAGTCATCTCCATTTTTACACAAAGAGCTTTCAGGCATGACTTCTTTGAAGCAGTGTTGGTTGTAACTTCCACTTCCTGATAATTGAACCAGCAGTGATCACTAGGGCATCCAAACACTTTTTATTCTTGGATCTGATGCAATTTTTTTTAATCCAAAACCTTAAGTCTTAAGTAGCATAGGTATATTTGTAGCAATAGCCAAAAATACAGTTTGGGTCAAAATTATCGGTTTTTCTTTTATGCCAAAAATCATTAGGATATTAAGTAAAGATCATGTTCCATGAAGATATTTTGTCATTTTCCTATCGTAAATATATAAAAACTTAAATTTTGATTAGTAATATGCATTGCTAAGAACTTCATTTGGACAACTTTAAAGGCGATTTTCTGAATATTTCGATTTTTTTTTGCACCCTCAGATTCCAGATTTTCAAATAGTTGTATCTCACAAACCATACATCAATGGAAAGCTTAGTTATTCAGTTTATTTAAATCTCAGTTCATTTATTTAAATCTCAACTGACCCTTATGACTGGTTTTGTAGTCCAGGGTCACATATGTGTTGTAGTGCTGAGTAATAAATACAAAGCAAAGAACTAAATTTGTGATTTGTAATGTAGGATGAATGTGTGAATCCTTCCTAATAAATAAATAAAAATAAAAACCATTCAAAAGTGTTTAAAAGTGGGTTTTTTTGTTGTTTTTTTTTTTTAATTTTTAAAATGTTTTATGCTCATAAAAACTGCATTTAGTTTGATTTAGATTTTTTTAAATGCAATAAAAACAAAAATATTGTGAAATAATTTAATTTAAAATAGCTGTTTTTGTTTTGACTATATTTTAAAATGTAATTTATTATTACATTGGATGGAAAAGCTAAATTCTTACTCCAGTCTTCAGTTTCACCTGATCCTTCAGAAATTATTTCTTGTTATTATTAATGTTCAAATCAGTTGTGCTTCTTAATATTTTTTTGAAACTGTGATATTTTCTTTCTTTTTTTCAGGATTCTTTGATGAATAGAAAGTTAAAAAAACAGCATTTATTTGAAATTGAAATCTTTTGTAACATTATAAATGTCTTTCGTTAAGAAAAAAGTCTTACTAAAACTGTTATAATTGTATAATTTAAATATAATATCCCCATAATTTAATTAACCTGTCATAGCCTTTAACCTCTTTTATTTTTCTATAAAACCATCCCCTATTTTCATTCCTCACTCCATAAATCTGTCTGATGTCACATTATGAGTGGAAGAAGCAGCTTGTATCTGTTAAATGTGTTTGTGTTTTGCTGTGAGTGATTCAGTTTAGTGACTACAGCAAGATCCTTGAGGTGAGAGACGATCAACAACTGTTGTTGTTGTTGTTATCAACATCAACAAACATCTCACCATAGTCACTTTCATCTGTGTTTCCATATATTTCCAAATTCTCCTGATGGAATCCGTATCAAATTGGTGCATTTGGCATGAAGACGGTTTCTTTTAAATCATAATTGAATGAAAGTCTGAATGAGGTCTGTGAGAAATCATTTCAGAGCCTGGTGGTTAATAAGCGTGAAATGTCAAGGCTAATATGAGTGTGGTAATCATCAAACCTTCTGCTACAGTTTATGGAGGTCTTTAACTGCAGGCGGGAGATGAGTATTCTGATGACGGTCATTTCTATTCTTGATTGCTGTGAACACATTATGATAAATGTGTTGTTCGTTGTGATGTTTCTAGGCTGTGTGGTGGACTGTATCAGGCAGATGGATGGCTGGTGGGTTGTTGGTTGTGTTTGCTGGAGCCTGAGTCAGTATCAGTCGTCCACCCCTTCAGACCCAGACTGCAGCCCACTACCTGCAGCTTTTCCTTCCACAGCCAAAAACCTTCCATCCGCCACGGATTTAGCGTATTTGCATCCTCCTCATTCACCCTGTCTCCTCTCTCTGTGTCAGGATTCAATCCCAGCATACTGTAGTTTGCTGCATCCTTCAGCAGCCAAACACTCAGAATGGGAAGTTGCACCACGGAAATTGCAGAAATTCAGCTAATTTTATTGTACTAATTTTGTGCGTGCACATTATTTGCATAATTCCTTTAGGGAACTATACTAAAACAACAGAGAGAGCAAATAAACGACACTATCACTGGTCCTGGATCGTAGTGAATTATTGCACATGCTGAAAGACATTTAACCTTATTTTCAGGCTTACTTTTTCTGCTTTGATAAAGGTTTTGGTTATAGATCTAATCCTTCACCGTGTCTCCAATTCTTTATGTTTGGCAAAGTGACCACCACCAATGTATTTTATAAAAGGATGAATGATATACTGACAGCCGTATCATGATCAGCTGAAAACAGCATATAATGTGTATATTTATATAAGTGTATACTTCTAGCCTATTATTAAATGCTAATAAAATAAAATGTTTGCTCAGAGAAATTCAGTTGATTTTAGTTGATTTAGATTTTATATCAGTGGCACACAGGAATTTTATTTTTGCATTCTTATAATTTGTGATAGTTATATTATCCATTTTACTTTTATTAAAAATATTATTTGCTTAAGTAAAAACAGTAATATTGTGAAATACTTATACAATGTAAAATAAATGTTTTCTATTGCAATATATTTTAAAACTACACTCTTAAAAAGTGTGTGTTAAAAAACAACACAACCTGTTGTTTCTTAACACACCTCTGTGTCTAGTTCTAAAGACAATACATTTAGTGTTACTTTTAACTCAACCGTGTGTTATTCCTACTAATGTTCTACACACTAATGTGTTATAGTTACACAATTTGTGTCAGTTATGTACTCAAAATGTTACAAAACATGTTAAAATATGTCCTCAACACAAAAAATGTGTTAAAAATTAACATCCTTTTTGAGTGTATAATTAATTCCTGTGATTTTGAAAGTGTGATACACTACCATTCCAACATTTGAAGTAAGATTTTTAAAAAGTAATAATAATACTTTTAATCAGCAAGAATGCATTAAATTAATCAAAAGTGAAAGTAAAGACATTTTTAATGTTACAAAAGGTTTATTTTTCTAATAAATTCTGGTTTTTGAACTTTCTCTTAATGTGATTATATGTATTATGATTTCCAGAAAAATAATAAGCAGTAAAAACTGTTTTCAACATTGATAATAAGAAGAACCATTATTAAAAATTGAGTACCAATAATTATTGATAATAGTTGAGCAGCGAATCAGTATATTCGAATGATTTCTGAAGGATCACGTGACACTGAAGACTGGAGTTATAATGCTGTAAAACGATTCTGCCATAACAGGAATACATTACATTTTAATATATATTACAATAGAAAAGTTATTTTAAAAAATATTTTTTACTGTAAAAATCAAAATAATGCAGACTTGATAATATGCATGACCTTTCTCAAAAACATTAAAAATCGTAATCCAAACTTTTGACCCTAAGTGTATCATTTCTTAACTCAAATGGTTCATAAGTTCATTGTCAAATAGTTGTGGAATAAGAATGATTGTATTCTGTCATATATGATGTTTGGTGTCATTTGAGGCATGTAGCTCCTTCATTTAGCTATGTCTATATAAAGTGTTGGCCTGAAGTTGCGTGTTACTGGGAATCCTTTGTTAGCATCCTGTTTGTGAAACATTTCCTCTAAGTCATGAATTATCCAGCCATAAACATAAGACAGTTCTCTGGCACTGACTCTCTCTGATTGCAGTTCTGTTGTTGTGTTCAATTATAAATGTCCTCATATGAAACCGCATAAATAATGCAGAGATATACATAGTGGTTTGAGATCAAGCACAAGTCTCGTTCATTGGTTGTCTCAGGTTAACAGCCTCGGGGTCCGCTGGTTCTTCAGTCTCCAGACAGATGGTGACGCAAATGTTGACTCATCCTTTTTGTCCCCTTTTCTCTCCTGCTTTTAGATTACAATCTTTAAGACTGAAACAGAGCCTGGATTACTGGATAACCTTTACCGGCAACATAAAGTGGGAGCGTAAGAGTTAGTTACATTGGTCACTGAAGTAACTGGAGCCAAGATGGCGGGAAGAGAGCGCAGTCCACGCCACAGGCCATGGTCTGTGTACCGAGCCAACACATTTGATTTGTCCTCAGAGATGATGGGGTTGGCACTAACAGGTATTATTATTATTATTATTATTATTATTATTATTAGCTTGATTAAGTGGGGTTTTGCCTATACATTTAACGTTTGCCTGTAGGCCTACAAGAAGTTTATACCATAATGATCATTATGTCAGTGGCACATAATCATGCACATATGATGGCGTAATAAATTTCTGCTTTTAAAAACTTTGCTTTGTTTTTAAACAAAGATATGAGATATGATTTTCTGTGGTAAAGGTTTTAATTCTGTAATATTTTATTTACCCTCATATTGTTCCAAACATGTATGACTTTTTTCTTCTGAGGAACACAAAAGAAGATACTGATAAACTAAACCTTTAAGTTGTATTTTAGTCAAGGTTATTCACTGTTCAGATTTTAATTGAGAATTTATTTTAAATTCTATTTACATTTCATTTACATGATTTCAAGTTTAAAGGAATGCCTATTTTAAATTTAAAGAAATGTAAATTTGCATTAAAATCATATAACTCCTTAGATATTTAATAATAAATTGTATTTTTTCTTAATGAGTTAGATATAAACATGTTATCATACACACAAAAATATAAATACCATAATTATCAATAGATTCACATTTTTCCAATGTCAATATTTATTTTTATATTTGTCTGAAAACAGTGTGGGGAATATTTTTCGATTATGTTTAATGGCTGTGATGATCAAAATGGAACTTATTTCTAATCAGTAGTGGAAAAAGATAGGAAATAAGATGCACAATTTGTCTAAATCAATAATGTGATTATCATTTATGTTTTAATTTGTGTTATGACTATTAAAATTCCTCTATGTGACTTTGTTGATTTTCTACAGTTCAGTAAGTTCCTCTTTCTGTCATTCAAATTCAACATCCTGTGAGACGTGGAGGCAATTCTTAAAGCAGCACTATGTAACTTTTTCTGTGTTCAAAATTTGCAAAATGTATATAATGAGCGAGTACATCATGAATTCATCTTCCAAACCGCGTTTTTGTCTTATTCCGAATCACTACGGTACACTTATAATAAGTACTTATATTTGGACTATTGTAGCCTGGTCAGGTCGTCACCGCTGCGGAGTAACACATACCTGCGTGAATCGCCATAGACATAAACTTAGAGAAGTAGCTCCGGTTGAAATGTTCTTCCGCGGGATGTGTGCAGTTCTGTTTATTAACCGCTAGGGCGCCAAAAGTTACATAGTGCTGCTTTAAACTGAGAATTTTGCCCGATGCTGATTTTACCCAGACTATTCCTCTAAGACTACACATCTCACATCTCAACATTTAATAGAAAGTTAACATTAACTAAATTAACATCTGATAAAAAGACTCAGCCATTCATAGGAATTCTGTGTTGTGTTTCACGTGTGTTTAGGAAACAGTCAGGATCCTGATGAGCCGGTGCTTGAGTTCAGTCTGGGTGAGTATCAGCAGTTCAGTCAATCATAAAGTGATCAAGGTGCAGCGTCACCAAAGTTCTTGTCAGTAACACAAAACCACCAAAGCTAATATCCACTCATCAGGATATGTGTGTATCAGTGAAGAGTCTTCACCTCATATTCTTCCTCCTTTTTTGGCTACCAGCACTAACAACATGCGGCCTACTGTATCTGTGAAGGAAATAAACTGTTTATGAGCCTCTTAGCTCACATGCAATAAACATGTATACAACCTATCTATGATGAAATCTAAGGGCTCTCTGACCCTCCCATAGACAGCAAGGTAAGTACCACGTTCAAAGTCCAGAAAAGTATCAGGATGATCGACAAAGTAGTCCGTGTGACATCAGTGGTTCAACTGTAAAGTTATGAAGCTACAAGATACTGTCGTGAACACGAGTCCACAAGTGACGCAGTAGAGACGAAAATGTGGAATAAAGTCGTTTTTCTTTGCACAAAAAATTATTCTCGTATCTTCGTATCTTTACAGTTGAACCACTGATGTCACACGGACTACTTTGTCGATCATCTTGGTACTTTTCTGGACCTTGAACGTGGTAGTTACCTTGCGGTCTATGGGAGGGTCAGAGAGCCCTCAGATTTCATCAAAAATATCTTAAATTGTGTTCCGAAGATGAACGAAGGTCTTACGGGTTTCGAACAACACGAGGGTGAGTAATTAATGACAGAATTTTCATTTTTGGGTGAACTAACCCTTTAAATCAAATATTTCCATTGTGGTAGGTGCACTGGGTTTTGTCTGACTTTGGCTGTATATTACTTTTTCCATGATGAAACGACATGTTGATGGCAGTTAGCCACCTAGGATTATTTGACATTTGTTTGTATGGCACTGTACATCTCAAGAAACATTTCATACAGTATGGTTGCTTACAAAGACTGGATTGTATTGCTATGCTACTATGAGTGTAATTACACTTTTCTCCTTTCATGATTAATATACTGAATTATTGTCCTTCTTTTCTCAGCATGCAGTGAGCTGGTCACTCCATCACTGGACCGTAAGCCCAGTAGCTTTGTAGCAGTGAGCTGCACCACCCCTCCACAGGCGTTTTGGACCAAACATGCACAGACTGAAATTATAGAGGTGAGGATAAGTACTATGATATTACTAGGGTTTAAACTGGCCCTAAAATTTTGTAAATATCAGATTTTGCATATCGAGGTGAATTTAATGCAGGCATTTCCCTTTTTTCCTAGGGCACTAGTAATCCAATCTTCTTGAGCAGCATTGCCTTCTTCCAGGACTCTCTGATTACCCAGCACACTCAAATCAAACTGTCTGTCTACGATGTGAAGGACCGCTCACAGGGGACTGTAAGACAGAAACCGCTATTCTTAACATTCTGCACTGTTTTGCTCAGCCTCATAAACTCTCTGTTTTATTAGATGTACCTGCTCGGGTCGGCTATGTTTACAGTGAAAGAGCTGCTTCAAGACAAACACCACAGGCTACACCTCACTCTGCGGTATGTGAGATAAATATAGGTACAAAGCCAATGTGTAATCCCATAGCATAACGTTAGCACAGAATTTATTAGGAATTACAGCAAATGTAGTCTGACACCTATTTGTGGGCATTTCACTGGCTCAGATCAGCCGAGAGCGAGCGGATGGGTAACATTACCATCATCGCATGGCAGATAGAGGAGAGGAGAGAGCAGCGAGCTCCTCTGGCACGTTCAGACACAGTTAATGGCAGGGTGAGTGCTTACGTACGCTGCTCTTCACACTATACATTAGTGGTTGACTGCTTTGAGGTTTGGCCACTGTCCAAAATCAATATTTAAATTACTGATGGCTAATAAAATTATAAATATCCATTGACCAAGGCATTATTATTTTAGTATCAATTATAGTGTCTTATATAGTATTTTAGTATCATCATATAATATTATAGTATTTATTAATATTTTGAATGGGTTTTTTATTTTTATATTTTTCATTTATTTTGTTGTGTGTTGTGACTACAGTTGTAGTCCATGATAACAACACTGACTTTTTTTTTTTTTTTTTAAGAGAGAACTAGCACTTCTGTTAAAGAGACGAGAGTCTGTTTTATTTTGTACAACTGTGTCTATTTAAATCTGTCACAAAGAACATGACAATCTTCTGTGTAATTGCTCCCGTGTTTCTCACAGATGGTATTACCTGTTGATGAAAGTCTGACTGAGTCCATGGGAGTAAAAGCAAAATCAGCATCCCTATGTAAAGACGCGCTTTTAAAGGCAGGTGAGTGTCTAATTTTGATGTCTATATACAACAAAAATCTTAATCATTGCAGCTACATTCCATCTGGAGGAAGCAGTTTATTTCTAATGTGCCCTTCATAACTAAACCAATGGGCTGTAGGCTTCACTTCCTGCTGTGAAGACTCATGAATGCCACAAGCTGTGAAAGAGGTTCTGAAAACTCATGTTCAGTAAAACACAAGAGTGGTTATTTGCAGTGTTAAATATTCTGTGTGAATACATAATACATTCTGTGACTAGCATTTTCTTAGGTTTAAGGTCTAAGTTTAGGTTTAAGGCTTTAGTTCTGCTTCAATAAAGTGCTGCATCACCCAGCATGCACACTGAAAACAGTTTGCTGGGTGAAGCAGTTTTCACCCAGAAATTGCGGTAACAGTTACAATAAGTTTTCATTTATTTAAATCATTTATTAATCTTAGTTAGTTACAAATTAATGCTTCAGTAAATGCAGTAAAATGCAGCTGATGTTCTTTTCCATGCCTCTCACTACTGCACACACCCATTGATTGATTGATTAATGCAGTGTTTGGAGGCACTATTTCACGGATGTATCGATTTCCCACGACTGATGGAAACCACCTGCGTGTCCTGGAGCAGATGGCAGAGAGCGTGCTCTCCCTGCACATACCAAGACAGTTCGTCAAACTACTGCTGGAGGAAGATGCTGCCAGGTTAATGCAATTCACTGTTAGTGCTCATGTTCAGAATGACTCTTTTGAAAGGGGACATGAAATGGAAAATCTCAATTTCCTCATATTTTTACAAGCTACAATAAAAACACACATCGAAGGTAACTGAGTCCCCAGTTTAAAATGTTTTTTGTTTTTGTTTTCTACCCTTCTGAAACATCAAGAATAGGTGACCCAAAAATGAAAATTTGCTGAAAATTTCCACACCTTCAAACCATCCAAGATGGAGATGAGTTTGTTTCTTCATCTGAACATATTTGGAGAAATGTAATATTGCATCACTTGCTCACCAATGGATCCTCTGCAGTGAATGGGTGCCGTCAGAATCAGAGTTCAAACAGCTGATCACAATAATCCACAAGTAATCCATACAACTTCAGTCCAATTAACGTCTTGTAAAGTGGAAAATGAAATATGTGTGTTTGAAAGAGTCCATAATTCATAGTAACGCTTCCTCCAGTGAAAAAGTCCATCCTGTTTTCCTCCAACATATTTGTTTAGAACTGTTTTGGGCTCTTTGGGTCTGTGCATATTTCTCTCCTGATTCAGACGAGACAACGTTTTACTGGAGAAAGCAATATTGTGGATGAAGGATGTTTTAATGATGTATTTGTTTCTCACAAACTTGCAGCTTTGCACTCCACAAGACATTAATTGATTGTGGATTACTTGTGGGTTATTGTGATGTTTTTATCAGCAGTTTGGAATCTCATTCTGATGGCACCCATTCACTGCAGAGGATCCATTGGTGAGCAAGTGATGCAATGCTACATTTCTCCAAATCTGTTCTGATGAAGAAACTCATCTGCATCTTGAATGGCCTGATGGTGTGGACATTTTCTGCAAATTTACATTTTTGGGTGAACTGTTCCATTAAGAATTGGTCAAGACTCACTTTTGTGCAGCACATTGAATTTTGACAATGCGGAAATTACATTGATTTGTAAGATTCTAACTAGCAAGACTGAAACACTATGAATTTATATAAGATTGTATTCTATTGTTGCACATTTCTGTCTGCACGCAGGGTGTGTGAGTTAGAAGAGTTGGGTGAGTTGTCCCCCTGCTGGGAGAATCTGAGGAGACAAATCATCACTCAGTACCAGACTATCATCCTCACCTATCAGGAGACTCTCAGTAATTTACATGACTACAAGGGTAAGTGTTGTGGCACCTGCTCAACCAGAAAGAGGAAGTGAGAGCGCTATAATTAAAGGTGATTTCAACATTGTATTTATCCGATTCTTCTCACCTACTATCCATCAGGTCCTTCCTTCAAATCTAGCACTCTGAAAGGAGAGAAAAAACTAGAGTTTATACCTACAAACCTCCACATTCAGAGGATGAGAGTGCAGGGCGAGTCCGGCTACGGTGAGATATCTGTGGTCAATATTTGCATTTGAACATTGAAATTCTTCAGTATTCTGTCGACATGGGTTGGTCTTCACGTAACGTACATCTCTGAACAGATCGCACATATGACGTGGTGACCACTGGGGCCCCTGCGGCACATCATCAGGGCTTTAAGGGCAGCGGATTGAGGAAACTCATTTTGAAATTTGAGGAAGCCAAAAAGCAGTAAGACTTTTTAATAATAAATTGGTGACGAATATGAATCAAAGTTTTTGTGTTGCTCTGCTAGGTTTCTTGGCTTTTCTAATTCTTTTTTTTTTTTATTCTTTTCTTTTCTTTATTATTGTGTTATTCTTGTAGCAAGAGGTATGGAAGCTTTTTTGGCTGCAAAATAAAAAAGCTAAAAAAGATAATTGGGATTTTTGGTAACGCTTTATTTTACGGTGTCTTGTTACACATGTTACATGTACTTACTATTACAATAACAACAAATTATTCATAATTACATGCAAGTAACCCTAATCCTAAACCTAACCATATAGTAAGTACATGTAGTTAATTAATATTACTCAGTACTTAAATGTATAATTACACTGTAACAAGGACACCTTAAAATAAAGTGTAACCTTTTTTTCTCAAAATTGTGAGCCTATCTCTCACAATTCAGAATTTTTATCTCAGAATTGTAAGTTTATATCTTGCAGTCGTGAGTTATAGACTCACAATACTTTTTATCTCAGAACTGCGATACATAAACTATGGAAGCCCGTTTCCGCCACTGAATAAAAAATAAAAAAGGTAATTGTGACTTTTTAGCTCACAATTCTGACTTTTTTCTCCGAATTGTGAGATATAAACTCAGAATTGTGAGATATAAACTTAGAATTGCGAGATATAAAATCAGAATAGCAGGATATAAACTCGCAAATGCGAGAAATAAAGTCAGAATTGTGTGTGTATGTGTGTGTGTGTGTGTGTATGTGTGTGTGTGTATATGTGTGTATGTTATGTGTGTGTATATGTGTGTGTGTGTGTGTATATGTTTGTGTGTATATGTGTGTATGTATATGTGTGTGTGTATGTGTATGTGTGTGTATATGTGTGTATATATGTATGTGTATGTATATATTTATCAGTCTGGCGAGTAAACAAAAAAATGTACTAGCCAATGGCGATTCAATTGCCAAGGTGTTCGTAGAGGGCTGGATATAAACTCAGAATTGCGAGATATAAAGTCAGAATTGCGAGATATAAAATCAGAATTGCGAGATATAAAATCAGAATTGCGGGATATAAACTCGCAAATGCGAGAAATAAAGTCAGAATTGCGAGATATAAAGTCCAGTTCTAAGGAGAAAAAAAAGACTGATATGTTCTCAGAATTTATATCTCACAATTCTGACTTCACTCGCAATTGCAAGTTTATATTACGCAATTCTGAGAAAAAAAAGAGTCAGAATTGGCAGTTTATATCTCACCTTTCTGACTTAATTTCTCACAATTGCGAGTTTACATCTCACAATTCTGAGAAAAAAAGAGAATTGTGAGTTTGTATCAGGCAATTGTGAGATAAAAAGAGAATTGTGAGTTTGTATCAGGCAATTGTGAGATAAAAAGAGAATTGTGAGTTTGTATCAGCCAATTGTGAGATAAAAAGAGAATTGTGAGTTTGTATCAGCCAATTGTGAGATAAAAAGTCGCAATTACCTTTATTTTTTTATTCATTGGTGGAAAACGGGCTTCCCAAATAAACTCATAATTATATCATAATTGCAAGAAAAAAGTCAGAATTGCGAGATATAAACTCAGAATTGCGAGAAAAAAGTATATATATTTTTTATTCTGTGGCAGAAATAATGTTCCATAGAGCAGAACTTTTTTTGTGCGATTGTAATCAGTTGACTTTGTTGTTTGCTTTCCGATCAGTTCAAGTGAGGGTGAAGGGTGAGTTTCAGGGTTGTTGGCCGTTTTTCCAGTCATTTTCATATGTGGTGGTGTTTCATCTTGTTTATGATCGGTCAGGGTCGATTCCTTTACTTCACTTCCATTAAATGTGAAGGATCTTTCTTGTTTGCACCAACATTTGTGTTTTTAAAGATGATGTATTTGCACAAAACCGCTATCCCACTCCATCCAATTATGTGCACTTGGCATTTGTGTACGTTTTCTGTGTGTGCTTGTATATCACACCATCTCATTTGTTATGTAGTCAACTTGGTTCTCAGCTTGTGCAGCTGAACAAGTGATTAGAAATGGTCTCGTTTCAGTGCCGGGGAATCTGCTCCACTTTCTATGCGGTATCAGCCACAGGATGTGTTGAAAGCTAAAGAAATAATTTCCCATGTCAACACTCTGAAGACGCAGGTCAGCTACTACACTGAGCGGCTGTCCCGCGCTGCCAAAGAACGCTCAACCAATGCACTGGAGAGGACCCTCGCTATCCTCACAGACAAGGTGAGAGGATTTGCATGAACCATTTACAGTCTGTTCACTGACCATCTAATGCATCTTTCACACAAAACTGGCAAGAGCTGGCTGAAATCCACAGTCCATTCTGATTGTCTGGCTTTACACAACTTAACAAGGGCACACAGTACAACTCTTTCAAAGATTTCAAGAGTTTTGCTTGAGGCACATAAACTAGAAATTGAACTAGGTATTTTTCATTGTTTATGTATGAAATAACTTGAATTTATTACTATTAGAAATAAAGAAAACACAAATTCTGCACTACTATTCTGTACCACCATTCACAGAGACTACAACACTATTACTTATGTTATCATTTTTATGTACAATTTAATTAAAAAATAGTTTAAAATGTTAAAATGAAATTATTTTAATAAAATAATTTAACTGAATTATTATAAATGTAATTATATTTTATTACAGTTCTGTTTTTTAATTTTACATTTTTATATCTATATCTATTTAATTTTTAATATAATGCAGCATTATAATTCTATACATTATTATAACTTTTATTACATTTTATAGTTTTATTTAAAAATTATTTAATTATTATAACTATTATTTAATTTTGTATTAATTTAAATTCTGTATATTATTATAATTCTATTATTGTGGTATCATATACAGTAAAACCAAAATTTATTCAGACACCTTCAACATTTCTCACATTATCACAGTTTATTCGCTATAGTTTAGAACATGGTAATAAAATATAACAAGAACTCTGAGTTAAACTGTGTCAGAACAAATTCATCTAGATAATGTCAGATAACAGAAGAATTTTTGGGTATAATATGTCACAGTTTACTTTATTTTGCTATCCTCGCTTACATTAATGAACTATAGTGTCCTGCACCCACTAGTAAAAAAAATATCTAAAATTATATCTGGTGTCTGAATAATTTTTGGTGTGACTGTATTTCAGATTAATAATTTATAATGCTTAACAGATCAGTAGTTCTTGTGCTTTTGAATATGAATATTTATGAATCACCATTAATCAAAAATTCTATTGAATTCCAATATTCCACACTTATTAACATGATAAATACTGACTTCTTTCAAAAGTTATTTTACATTATATAAGATATTATTAACTATAACTTTGAAATAAATTATATAATATATTTAATACATTTTATATTTAAAATACATTTATTTTAAATGATTAAATAAAGACATTTTTATAAAGTGGTTAGTAGTAAATCTGCCCAAATTTGGCACTTTTTATTTTTTTGCAACATGCAGGGGGGTGGGGGGGGTGTTTATATTTATTTTTATTTTTTATGTAATGTATGTTATTTGTTTTGGAAAGTCATAGAAATGCTATTTTGGATGTTCTATTTGGATTTCAATATATTTATTGTAGATTCCATTTACCATTTACTATTTAAAGTTGCTTCTGAGAACCCCAGGGATGAGAAAAGGGTTCATTAATGAAAGCTATTTAAGGTGTTTCTCATGCTCAACAGATCTAGCAAGTAAAAGCTGTTGAGCTCCACTTAATGCGTAAGTGCAATCTCTGTGTCTCTCTCAGACGCGGCAGCTGGTGACGGTGTGTGACAGTAAGCTGCTAACTACAGCTATCCAGGCACTGAGTGCTGCACGCCCAGAGTTCATCGCCTCCAGAGGCTCTCTGTCCGCCCATGACACTGAGCGCGTGGTCCTGAGGAACGACCAGGGCTCTCCACAGGCCAAATGGAGCGGGAAAGGGAACAGAGCATCCATGAACTTAAACTGGCAGGAGGAGGAGTGGGTAAGATTCAGAGACTGACATTATTATTTTCTCATGAATTTACCTAGAAGTCTGCAGAAGCTGACATATTTCTGTTTCTGCTTCAGGAAAAGATCTGGCTCAATGTGGATAAGAGTCTGGAGTGTGTGATCTGCTGTGTGGACAGGCTGCTGACGAGAGAGCGCTCGCAGAGCGACAGCAGTGAAGACGTCTTCCTGTCTGACCAGCAGGCCGACACCAGCAAGAGAGGTAGCCAGGGCAATGCATTCTGGATCAACCCTGGTGACGGTCGCTCCACCCCCCTGACCTCATCACACCCTCTTTCAGCTCAGTCCTCTTCACCATTATTACCAGCGTCCTCATCACCCTTACTGAACCCTGCATGCCCATCCAGTCCTAACACTCGCTTCTGTAGGTTCCACCCTGTGTTACGTTCTGTTTTGATTCCTTTTAGAGCTGCTTTCAGTTTTACATCCTCTTCTAGTGGCACAAGTGATAATTCTGCACGCCATTCAAAATCGAATGTGCCACATTTCCGCTTGATATCTCTGACTTTCAACCATCAAGGAGTCCTTTTTGAAAAAGAACTGTTTTAGCATGATTTTAATAAGAGTGCTTATTATGGCAGTAATATACTTTTAAAAATATACTTCAGTGCGAACTGAATGTAACGTTTTTGGAGACTTAATTGCATGTTAACTGCAATTGAATGAACTATATTAGTTTTATTATATTTAAAATTAGTGTACTCTATTTCATTAATATTGTATTGTCTTTTAGTACAGGTTTTTAAAATATATATTTAATACATTCTATACAATTAAGCACACTTCTTTTCACAAGGGTTTTCACTGGCAGAGACTCTGCAGATAAAGAGTTGAATGGAATGCAGCAAAATGCCTGCGTGTAGTTGCTTTTGTTTTGATATGCATGTATATGCTAACAAACCAAAAATGACATCACAAGATTTCATAAAGAGTTGGCTTTAAAAGTAATAAAAGTAAAACAACACTTAATTGTTCTCTCTCTGTCCGGCTTTAGATGGCAGTCCCAGTGTTGAAGGCTCCTCTCCTGGTAAGCCTGTCGCTGCAAACTATTTGTACCAGCTGCAGCTATATTTGTGGGCTGTCCAGTTGACGTTAGCTGTCTGTGTTTATGGCTCTAGGTGAATGGAGTGAAGCTCTGTATCCTCTCCTGACCACTCTGAACGAGTGTGTAGCAATGATGAGCGACAAAGCCAAGAAGTCCATGGTGTTTCTACTGATGCAAGACAGTGCTCCCACTATCGCCATGAGTTTGTCACTACAGTACCGCAGAGATGTGGTTTTCTGTCAGACAGTTAGTACAGACTATTTAAAGAGATAAACAACATCATTTTATTGCCAATCAGTCATAACCAGGCCCACATAGAATGTGCTCTGTAGAAATGAGAAACTCTATTATTTTGTGAATCTCATCACCCATTACATTGCATTTGTTAAACATTTCAGCTAATTTCATATTGTGTTCAGCTACCAATAAGGATATAGCTTTTAATGTTTTAAATTGGTTTCATTAAAAATGACAACTAACAAAAAATTCATTCTGTTAAGGCCTGTCTATACAAAAAAATATTTTCTTATATACTTTAAATATATTTCAAAATATACAAAAAAATGGTACCAAAACGTATCTTGTTAATATAGACTATAACATTTACATAAATATATTTTTTTCTCATTTGAATTTCCTATTTAGTATTTATTTTTCAATCTAAATATATTTTTATTGTCCAAACAGTATATTTTAAAATATATATTATATATACAGTATATTTGAATTTAGCCAAAATGTATTTTAAGATTGGAAATGTATTTTCCTGCTGCTTTAAGTATTGTAATATATTTCTTTGTAGCTGACGGCCCTGATCTGTGGATTTGTGATAAAACTGAGGAACTGTCTAAGTGACAGCGGCTTCCTCAGACAACTCCACACTATCGGCTTACTGGTCCAGTTCGAGGGGCTCCTGAGCACCTACGGTAAACATACAAACACATTTCAATTCAGCTTGCACTTATGGATGAAGGTAAACGTATCTGAATGTGTGAACTCTGAGCTCCTCTTTCGTATTAAAGGGGAGGAACTCGCCATGTTGGAAGACATGAGTGTAGGCGTCATGGACCTCCGGAATGTCACCTTTAAAGTGACCCAGGCGACCTCCAGCTTCAGCCCCGACATGCTGCCTGTCATCACGGGCAACAGAGATGGGTTTAACGTGCGTGTTCCTTTATCGGGGGTGATGTTTGATGTGTTACCACGGGAGATCCAAAATGGGATGCTGCTGCGAGTTCAACCGGTATTATTCAATGTAGGAATCAATGAGCAACAAACGCTAGCGGAAAAGTAAGTGTATGAATTAAATATACTTTCTGTTTCTTTGTATGGACTGGTTTAATCACACTGGCTCTCGTTCACTAATAATTGCATGGATTATCAGTATTTATATGCACAGGAAAACTTCTCACAAAAAATAATGCACATGAATTCATTCTAATGTTAGTGAACTTGGGAGTATTATAAATGAACAATTGTGTGCCTAAGGTTAGTTATTTGCATAAAGCACGCTCAGACCATCTCTAGGGCTTTCCACTCAACCTTTCCTTTACAGCCATTTGTCACTCTCAGCAAACACACGACGCTCTCTAAATACACGCTGTCACATGTGCAGCAAGATTCACAAGCAATGCCCAGTTTGGCATTTTTAAAAAACAGTTCAAACACAATAAACATCGTTTACACACACTCAGATTACAGAGATCTCATTAGCCAGCTGTAGCTACACATGCAGTTTTGTGCTTTTATGAGAGGAACCTCACAGCTTGAGCAATAACACAGCTTTTCTTACTCTTTCATTGTATAAAATTAAATATATTGTTTAAAGATGAGATATCTGTGAAACATTTTTATCTTAAATGCTTCACCCGGAGTATGTGAATTTTGCATACGGAAGATTTTAAGTAGTTCCTTTTTTTCATAAATTTAGCACACATTTTAGTACACAAGTTATTGATGAATCATGTATGGATTGTGAAGTCCTTTGTATGTAGATTTAATGCACAATGTGTGTGTATGCATGCTTAGTGAATGAGACCCGATATTTACCTCTTCAGTTATTCATACAGTGTAATTCATTGGACTGTCAATATACAATATGCATTTCAGTATACAATATACAGTTTATATATACAATATACTTTTTAGTATTCATGTTCATTTTGTATTACTTTAGGTTTGGAGACACGTCGCTGCAGGAAGTAGTGAATATGGAGAGTCTAACTCGTCTTGCCTCCTATTATGACCAGTTTAAAGAAGTGCTGCCTGAAGACTGTGAGTCCTAAACACTCTCCTAAACTGCGCATGAAAGAACGTTGGTAGATGGTTTATGTCAGTCCTAACCAGTTGAATGACTCCATCTATAGGTCTGCCCCGCTCTCGCAGTCAGAACTGTGTACCTGAGCTACTCAAGTTCCTCAGTCAAAATGTTAATGCCAGGAAGAGCAAGAATGTTGACATCCTGTTGCAGGCAGCAGAGGTACAGTGATCTAACATTATTATTATTATGTTCTCTTGCATCTATACTGAAACATGGGAAATCACAATTCAGTTTGTTTTTGATGCATGGAGCTGCGATCTGAGACTCTCTCACTAATGAACTCTTTGTAATAGTTTGAATGTACCTTACCAGGATGATATCTTTCTCTCTTATGTCAGATTTGTCGGCGTCTGAACGGTGTGCGTGTGACCAGCTGCAAGAGTGCAAAGGATCGTACGGCCATGTCGGTGACCCTGGAGCAATGTCAAATCCTCCAGCAAGAGCACTGCATGGCCCCGCAGGTCTTCACACAGGCTTTGGACTGTATGCGCAGGTGAGACGACAATTTACAGCTAGGGATCGTATTCACACATTAAGGCCTGATCACACCAAGGACAATAACTATAATACTGACGATAAAGCAGGGTTTGTGCACGTCATGAGCTGTCTTAATTCAAATTTTCACAAATGAAGGCCCTAAAATGCCTTAAATCAAAGTAGAAAGTCTTAAAGTCATAAAGTCGTGGCATTAAAAGTTGCCTGAACTACACAAAAAGATGATCTTCCACAGTATTTTGTTTTCCAGTACAAATACAGGATGTAAACATCCTAAAATCAAGATACATTTACTTGAGATGCAAAATTAATATACTGAATGAGTTTTCTGAGAAATGGAAGAAAATTAAATGGCTTTATGATAAGAAACAAGAAGAAATGCCTGTCAATGGGATATTACTTTTTTTTACTTTTAAAAAAAGTTTATTTTTAAGAGTCTTTTCAAGATTTTTTAACTCACTTCACTTCTTGCTTCTCAAATAATGTATCTTGATTTATGAATCTTTGGGCATTTGCACTAGAAAACGAGACAAAAATACAGGGGAAGAACATCACATTTTTGCAGTGTGATCAGAAGGTACCATAAAAGTTATTTCTTTTTTATACAAAGTGAAATAAAAAGTAATGGAGTTCTGTTGGAAGTTGTATTTTCAAAATGAGAAGTGTTGCTATTACAAGACGTTTACATTTAGAGATCATGTTGTGGTGTTGTGTTCCGTTCAATTGATTCCTTAAATTTACCTTCACCCTGTGAAACCCTGTAAAGGTATAGTTTTAAAAATCATTCTAATTGTAAAAGAATAGCATACCAACCAACTGTAATGATAACGGCACAGAGGAATGATAGAATTGGAATCACTTCTAGAACAATTTTTTTCTAGCTGATTAATGATAAAAAACATTTGACAGCCATTCAGAATTTTAAAGCAGCAAACTACAGCAAGTGCTTATAATAAACAGAATGTTAACATTCGTTAGTGTGGACACTAATATAGTTATAGTTATAATTATTGTTTTTGGTGTGAATGGGCCTTTTCTCTATCTGTTTCACAGCGAGGGCTGCAGGCGAGAAAACACCATGAAAAACGTCGCCAGCCGCAAATACGCTTTCAACTCCCTCCAGCTGAAGACTTTCCCTAAACAGTACCGACCACCAGAGGGCACCTTCGGGAAAGTGGAAACTTGAACCGAAAGCAGTCCGCTGTTCTGGCCCTCCGCGACTAGAACGGCATGTTTCTCCTCGTTCGCTTTACTTAATCACCACATATCTGAAGGAAAGTTTTATTTTGCACAGTCATGCTGAAATACGCTCTGGTTATCATCCAGATGATAATGTTAATATGTCTACATCCCCAACCTCTTGGCTCTGAGAAGAAAGGAGATAGGGAAGGAAAATCACTTGAAGATAAATGAGTAGCCCGCTTGTTTATTGCACTGAAAGCAGGTAAGAAGGCCTGACTCTTAATATTTAAAAAGACAAAAAAAAAAAAAAAACAAGACACTGATGATTTCATTTATCAGAGAATTTCCTAAATAATCCCAAAGCATCTAATTCATTCCGTCTATGTTTATTGAATAAGTAAATTTTTCAATACTTTCCAGTACCACACACTTGGTCTTTGTACTAAAATACAAAGTTCAAAACTATCAGCACTGAAGCAAAGCTGTGTTTTATCATCCTTTAGATTGTAAATTCAGTAGGTTAAAGGTAATGTGTATGTGCTGTGATAAAGTAGTTCCTAAGTCATCCAGTTTCAAGATTTATAAGGAAAATCAAGCTGTTAAGTTAGAGAATCCATATGTGCACCTCAATGTTCACCCTCACTTCATTTAAATTATACACAATACTAGCTGCCTTAAGAGAGTCCACCATTGGTTAAGATACATATGTAGATATTTCTAATCTGTGTATGACTATTTGTGATGTGGCAGATTATGTTTTATTCATTTACAGTAAGACTCTCTCTTTACGAAAGTGTTAGTGCTTTAATGCAGGCCTTTCCACTTCTGACTGTGCATTGTACGGGTTGTAGGGTTTAAGAGGACAAGCTTCCTCATACTGTTGCCAAGCACAGCTAGTCTCTGTACAGTGAGCATACTATGTGAATATACATTCTTTGTAAGGAAATATGTGAGAAGACACTATTATGTTCATTGACTGTTTGTATGTTTTCATAGTTCAATGTTTCTTTTTAGGACATTTATATTGGTTGATATGAATGTCAGTACTGATCTAACAAGGAGCACTGCTGCAGCTGGTCCAGAAATGTGAAGAATTTTTCTGCAGTCTTCTGTTTTTGTAAAGCAGAGGGATGCATTTAGACTATTTATTTTATTGTAATAGTTATACGAAAACCATGATAGGCATTGCATCATAAATGACTAAGACTAACGCTACATGTAATGATCATCAGCATTTGTCTCTGCACAAATAAATGCACAAATGGACTGTAATTTCTGGTTTGTATATTGCAAGAATGAACAACTGAAAGTTTGTATTTGCAACTTGGGAGACAAGAGCATGGATCTTAACCTCTGCTGAAATGATTAATATTTAAAATTCTTTAAAAACCAGATGCACTGCATGGAAGGTAGGCTACAATTGTTATTTAAGTTTACACTTAATTATTATTTTCAATAAATGTACATGTAATTATTTTACCACCAAGTCATTTTATTTTCATTTTTCATGTAAGAGTTTATCCTCTATTGTAAGTGCTAAAGCACTGCTATGTTGTAAGAGCATGCTGCCCTATTGAACTTACAGTGTCTGTTTTTATTTTTTAATGTATGTTCAAATACTTTGTTGTACAAAATGCCTCTCTCTTCCCTCCAAACATTATAGCTTTAAAATAAAAATTACATACCACATTAAACTTCAAGCTACTTCATTGCTTTGTTCATATACATAGATACAGGACTATGACCATTGCTAATTATATAAATAACATTTATTTATTGAAAATTATGCATTAAAGTGTTTAGTATATTTGATCTGCTGGGATCTGGGAATATTCTGGGTTTTCCCATTATGACACTCATGCCTATACCTTTGCATACTGATGAAACGTGCTTAGTTTCATGACTTAAAAAAATAAATTTTAAATAATAATAATAACATGCGAGCATAGCACGCCAATTAGCACTGATTTTGTACACTAGAAAGCAGTTGTATGTGTTATCAATGTACAAAAACACAAAAGCTGTGAGCTCATATGTATTGAAGTGTTTACTTTGTTGTAGTTCTAAAAACATTGCACATTAGAGTTTAAACACAATAATTCTGGACCTACAAAATATGAGCTGTAAGTGACATCTTCACAATCACTTGAAACTGACATATGACTGCCATCCTATAGCCTAACATTCAATCCATCTTATTTAAAACTTTTACATGCAATGACAGTACAATTGTGTGTACAGATAATACATACACACACACACACACACACACATATATATATATATATAGCGGGTAAAACAAGTATTGAACACATCAACATTTTTCTCAGTAAATACATTTTTAAAGCTGCTGTTGACATGAAATTTTCACCAGATGTCGGTAACAACCCAAGTAATTCATACATACAAAGAAAACAATACAAATAAGTTCAGAAATTAAGTTCTGTGTAAAAAAATGGAATGACCCAGGGAAAAAGTATTGAACACGCTTACTGAAATGTATTTAATACTTTGTACAAAAGCCTTTGTTGGTAATGACAGCTTCAAGACGCCTCCTGTATTGAGAAACTAGTCGCATGCATTGCTCAGGTGTGATTTTGGCCCATTCTT